CTCAGAAAGGATGTTTCCAACGCCAGCAGTAGGTTAAAGATAGCAAATCCAAAATTACAGCCACACCATTAATCCAACATGGAGAATTTTTAAAGCTCTCAGGATAAATAAGTTTAAACAGTATATCTTCATTTAGCCAAACATGTGGAATTGAACCCAGAATAAAATGCACCAAATCTTAAGGTGAACAAGTCCCACTGGTTTTATCATGTTTATCCGCAGGCAAAGTTCAACTTCTAAAGCGTAATAATTTGTTTATCCGCAGGCATAAACAGGCATAGAAGTTCAACTTCTAAAGCGTAATAATTTAGAAGATGTCATACAAGTAGTACCTACCTAGCAAATTAATGCCATCATTTACAATGAGCTGTCCGTGACGCAAATAGTTCAGGATTGGCTCAAAATACTCTGGACTGCGGTCAATTAGGAATGCTCCTCTATTATCTTGCTTATTTCTCCAAGCATCTGTTTCCACAAGATATACGTAATTAAATTTGATGTATTAAGAGAGGAGCATTTGCTTCAGTCTCAGATTGTTACTACCATAGGGTCCTGGATTATGATGACAAACATTTCACTTTAAAGGGCATTTCGTTAGAGAAAAGGAAAGAAAATAAGAGCAAGGAAACAATCACCTTAAAAATCTCTCTTCTATGTAGAGACATAACCTAAAGACATTTTATCACAGGTACAAGAACCATTGCCAGAATAAAAGCAGTGTTTAGTCTGCCCCTGCTTCTAAAGGCTGTCTTGTACAGTGTTTGCCAGCTGCTTCTGTTGACATGTTCTTCCGTCGGAACACGAGGAAAAACTTCTTTACTGTGAGGGTGACAGAGCGCTGGAACAGGTTGCCCACAGAGGCTGTGGAGTCTCCTTCCTTGGAGATGCTCAAAAGCCATCTGGACACGATCCTAAGCAACATGCTTTAGGCAACTCTGCTTGAGCAGGGGGGTTGGACTAGATGATCTCCAGAGGTCCCTTCCAGCCTCAACCATTCTGTGATTCTGTGACTACTATTAACAAAGCTGAGCAAGGTGCAAGAAAAAAGAAGAAAATCCAATATGAAAATAAAACCCCCAAAGTATTTATTATGGGTAGAAATTATATTCTCAGTGTGTGAGATGTCTGATAAACATCACATAGGCATTGGAGAAATAAATTATATGTTCTGTTTTGATACTTTAACATGCAAACAGGAGTTTTACCTTGATAGTGCCTTTTGCTAATTCCTAGGTTAAAAGATAAACTTTATTTCAATATACTAACCTTTGTCCTTAAACATATGAGCCAACATACTGTCAGGTTCCTTATTAACCAAAGTGCTCCTAGAAAATAAAGGCAGCACAATTTTATTTTTCAAATGGGAAGTTTTGCTTAAGAGATGCACTTGCTGGTTAGAGTGCATTTCCTCCCCTCGGCAGCTTGCCGGCAATAATGGTACACGATACGCATTCTAACAGCTACAATACTAGACTGATTTAATTTCATATGATGTGATAAAGAAATACATTTCTGACCTAGTAAACTAAAGTATCGCAAAAGTACCTCAAACACAAAGCACTTAGTTAACTGAAATATTCCAGAGATAATTCCAAGCCTGTTCAGCCTTTTCACCAGTTTTATTTCACATGTAAACTGTTAAAGGATTACGTTGTTGCAAAACTGCAGTAGCAAATACCTAATCCTGAGAAAGCTGCAGAAGTCAAAGCCCCCCTGCCCCATACAAAGATGTTGCTAGTTCAAGAACATCTGAAGCCTCACCAAATGAACGTACACAAATGGCAACCTACTATAACTACTTTACTGAAATCAAGTCCTTTCAGAATACAACCAAACTAGTTGTACTTTTACCGCGTAGTTGTGAAGTACCGGCCTCCAACATTGAGTGTTAACCAATCTGTGTGTGATCCTGTTAGTTCTTCACGAGGTCTCACATCAGTCTGAGGATCTACACAAGTGAGAACAACGCAGTAATTATTAGAAGAATCGTGAATATTTTTGAATCTTCCATATGGTAACGGTCTCTTTTGAAAAATATCAGAAAATAAAGTTTTAGATTTACATCAAAACAAAAACCTCTTTTCATTAAGCAAAATGTTAAACGTTAAGAATTACACACACTTACTAATGAACGGTTCCCCTTCACAGACAAACAAAACATCATCATCCCTGGAAGGGGAGGGGCAGGGGGGAGAGAAAGAGCAGAGAAATTATTAACCATGCTTTTTTGTTCTTTTATATAAGTGACAGTGGGATCCCCTCCTGATTAGTCTCAGGTAAATAATAATCAGTTGCCATTAGTTAGTTCAGTATCTCATTTTTATTTTACTCTTGCAGGTTTCAGCAGAGCTTAATACTATCAGCTTCGCTAGAGATGCTACCGATACATACCTGTACGAACCTGGTAGGGATCACTTCCTTTACTCAGCCAGTTAAATTTTACAAAAGTTGCTTTTCCCCTCACTTTGGGAGTTTTTTTAAATGAAGATAATGCAATGCTACAGTTTGTCTGCCTATTCTAAAAACCTCATCCAAACGCTATCCCATCATTTTCAGAAAAATAAGAATGACATGCAAGACTAGAATAGTGGGATGCTCCTGGTGTGTACATTGTGCTGTGGATCAGCACAGAGTGATGTTAAATGGCATAAAATGCAACTTGTATCAATTTCTGACTCATCAAGATATAAACGCTAAGAAGTTTAAGAGACTATTGTTTTCCTGGAGGCATAAAAGGACTTCTCGCATATTGGTTGGAAGTGATTAGATGATTTAAGGAAAGCACTGGTTACTGATTAAGGTCAGAGGATAAATAGGATATACTGAGTGTCTTAAATCCTCATCCATGATAACTTCTATTGGACAAGCCTTACCTAATCAAGGCAATATCATCAATGAGTCCACCTTTTCCATTGTAAACACTAGTTGCTTTTATTCCAAGTTTATTACTAGCCACAGACAGCAAGTCTGATAAAGTTCCATACACGGCCACAACCTGTGAAAGAAAAGAGAGGTTGCTGTGGATACCATGCATGCATAGTTTCTGCCATTTCAGAGTAGTAGGCTAGCCATGTCTTCTCCCTGGGGAGAGGAAGACATGTATGGACCTTTCCTTAAAAAAACAGGGTCAACTTCGATATAAGAAACATAGGTCCCTTGAAATGGGGTGACTTAATTACACATCTCTCAGCCAAGACTCCCTGTACAGAAGTGGTAGCATCAGGAAAAGAATGTCAGTACTATAGGGATGTTATGACTCAGCTGTTAATTTCTCTAAGGAAATCAGGGATTACATTTAGTAGAACTGTACAGTGGGCCCATTTCCCGTTCTGCTTGTGCAGCAGTTGAACCTTGAAACGTGAGCTACGCTCACTCTTGAGACTAGATAGGTTTTAACAAGTCAGAAAAGTTTAAGCAAGATTATTTATTGGCTAGCCAACAGAAAACATTCACGTGCAGTGCCGGTTAGACATGGCAGAGACCTGGCAGTAGGACCTGCAGTAAACTGTACTGGTTTGATGGCATTTCTGCTGTGCAGAATTTAAGACTAACGGCCAATGCAGACTCAGATGGCCGTTTCGCAAAAAACAGCTTCATAAACAGCCTGCAGGACTTAATTTACGTGCTTCCTGTTGCTGCCAGAACATCAGGGCCTGAATTAATAATGCCAGCACGAAGGTGACTTTAACTGCACTGCAACGTTAGTAAACGGATCTTAGCTGTTTGTGCTTCTCTTCAGCGCTCACGTGCAGAAACGTCACTCGAGGCTAGACTACAGTGAATAAAACCCCACTGCCCCCAAAGGCCACGCAAGCTTTTCTGTGCGCTGCAGCGGCCCGAGGACTAGGCCCTAAACGGGGACAGAACCAGCGGCCGGGGAGCAGCGCCGGGGGCAGAAGGGAGGAGCGCGCCCCGCCGGCGCGGCGGCGG